GCTTTGGATAAGAACACTTTATTTTGCCTTTACTTAAAGCAAAAGCTTTTATGAAAAGTTAACAAAATTATGTTTTTAAAAAAATGTATGAGCAAAAATGAAAATATTCCGAATTTTGTGATGCATTAACACGAAAGGAGACGAAGGTTGAAAAAAAAAAATATATATTATCGTCAGGTGTTGCTAAAATTTCAAACTGGTACTTTTCAAAAGGAAATTAACTATGAAAATTTCTTTGAACCGAATTTTGGATGTCAAGTTTTTAATAGAAACACACTTCTCCATATAGTCGGAAAGCGTAAATGAACCACTTTTAAAGAGATGTCGGTCTGTGTTTGCAATCGTTTATATGTGAGTTTATTTTGGCTATGGCACTGGGCAAAAATACGGGAACTAGATTTTCTTGCGGGCCAATGTTACATGCATTTCCATATATAAAGAGAAATAATCAACCAATTTTTGAAAAATGCACTCAAAGCTCACTCTCTGGAAAATGCAACTAAATTACTTATTTTTTATTCTTAATTACTTAATTAGCATCAGTATAAAAACCAAGATGATTGTGCAATGGCGCCTCTCATTTCTCCCGCCTCTTGTTGGTGACACTAATTTTACACAAAATAAGAAGCGAATTTTATGAAATTTCGTTCACGTACAGCAACACTGAGTACGTGTTGAATGGGATTCATGTTTTTAATCCCGATTCCCAGCTCTCCGTTTTTAATGAGTAAAAATTTTCAAATGAAACATTTTTTCTTTATTTTGTTTAAGAATCTATCTTTTGTAATTCTCGCAAGATAAAAATTTAACCAAAATGCATTCTACACTGCATTTGTGCTTTTGTTGAAACTTGGATTTGAATATACTAAACATAAACAATAAGGGATATTGATAAGTATAACAACAAAAATTTTGAGCATTGTCCAAAATTTTGAGCACCTTAGTTGTCCAACTAAGTTACTGGAAACTTTATTGCTTTAGTATACCCCATTTAATTTAATGTATTTAATTTTTTATCATTATAAAAAGTTCTTTTATAATGAAATTTTTAATTTCAAAGCAGTTTCTGTATAAAATATACGAAATTAAATTGTAAAGATTTGCTCAAGACATATGGGGTACGATTAATATACAACAGCTGACATAATAATTTCTCCAGCAATAAAACTCTAAATATCATTTTTTAAATAAATTTTCATCACCTTGTCCAAATTTATATTTAATTAGAAAAAGCGTGAAGATTTTCCATTTGAAAGAAGAAAGATTCTCTAAAATTTCAACTAATAAACTTTTTGTATTATACATGCAGTGATATTGTGCACAACATTTCTAATTGTCTATATATTATATACGTATATTACATAAATAAAGTGGGTGTATAGATTTTTCATCCGGAGTAATTTGATTTTCATTGCTTAATTTTAATATTATAATTATATCATGTGCAAACGAGTATATGAATAATTTTGGATATGAAATAGAAATATTTTATTACACAGAAGAATTTTATCAAAAAATATACTTTAAGCTATTTGTTCGGCTAACCTGTTATGTAGATTGTTCTAAAACTAAACATTTTTTATTTTATTAACTCACAAATTTACTTTACAACATTTAAGTGTTACAGTACTTAAGTAAGTGTTGTATATAGTGTGTTTCAAGTATGTGAGTTTTTATTAAACAATTGGTTGATAAGTGTGTCTGGTATTTGCTATTAATTGAGGATTTTTAAACAAAATATCGTATGAAAAATTATTCTCCTTTACACTATTTTCTTAAAACACCAATGAAAGGTGCTCCAAACAAATTTCTATTAACTTAGCAAGCATCGAACAATTATCATAAATAATCCATCTAGCGTGTTGCTGTTATGTCAGGAGAAAAGCATGTAAGGAGAAAGACATGTTAGGAAAAAGACATTTATTTTCATTTATTTATCCTAGAGTTTAACGAAATTTTCGAGGTCATTCCGAATGAGATCATTCTCTTGGTATACCATGTGATTATGTTAAAATTTTGTTCATCTTTAGGGTTTCCGTCGACCTGAGAGTTCGAATTTTCTCCTGGTAAATTTCTTTTTAAATGTACAAAAATCTGTTGAATTTTTGGTTGCGCCAATATATTTAAAATGTTTTTTCTGCGGCCTTGGATAAGACTAATTTTTGAAAATTTTGCAATTTTCAAATACTCCTGACAGCATTTGTCCACTTTCAATTTGGTATAACAGAGCTGTAAAAATTTCGAATATCAATATTTTCACTACAATTTTTGATACGATAGGTTTTTAAAAATATTATTGTGAAACCATTGTGAGATTCTTTGAAACAACTTCCCAAGGTTGAAAAGTTCAAAAATAAGCGTTGTACTATATGTTCCGTTTCATGAGAAAACTGGTTATATTAATACTTTGTACTTCAAAACGGTACTACTTACATATTTTTTTTTTGAAGATTTAGTTGGGATTCGGTGAATTGAATTCGTGAAATTCAAAATATTTTTCATATTCTTTAATACACTATTAACATAGATTGAAGATTTGAATTTCTGAAACTAAAATTACATACATATAGGACAATTTTAGAATTACACAATAATTTTGCGTCCGTTGTATCTTCACCATTTTGTAAATAATTAATTTGTGACAAAGTTTTCGGAATTTAGAAATATGAGATAATTTTACATTAAATCTTTCTCGTAAAGCTAAAACCAACTATAAAATATGTATACTTACATATACATGCATATGATTTGAACAGTTTTTATAACACATATATTTTCTGAATTGGATGACGTTAAAAATATTGAAAGAGTGTTATTAATATAAACAAATTTAGAAGATTTATTACTGTATAGGAATTTCGTGAATTTTAAATTTATATAAATAAAATTCACCTTTTACTCGAATTAGTCGTATCTTATGCATACGTAATAGGTATGCTGTATATGTATATATGTATGTATGTGATTAATTTAATTACGGCCAAACATTCGATATGTGTGTATAGCATGCAACTCTGTTCACGGAGTTTTTTAGCATGTAAAGAAATCTCGTATTAATTTTTATGATTAAAGAAAAAGCGTAAGAGGAAAACTGAAAAGTCAATTTTTATTTTTAAGTATTTGTTTTTTTTTTCATTATTTTTTTTGGTACAGATAATTTTTGTGTTTTTTATTTTAAAAAATTATTTTATTTTTACAGTTACCTTTAAAAATAGAATTTTCACTTCATATTGAACGTTGGTGCGGCATCAAAATTTTTTATTGTTTCGTTCGTTTCACTTTTATTTAAACATTTTTTTTTTACTGAAAAATATTTAAAATTTTGTTTTTTCTTGTTTAAAAATTCTTTTGCCAAGATTTTTTAAACGTTGCGTAACACTTTCTTTTTCATTTTTCTAAAAACAGTCTGCTGTTAAATTTTTTTTATTATCACGAAATTAATTTTACTTGTTTTTTTTTCCGTTTTCTCATTAAGTAAAAATCACTATAGTTGATTTGATTTCATTAGTTTAAAATGAATGTTCCTATTACAATCCAATTAATCATCTATTTATTGACTAGATTCCAATAAAAATGTTATTGTAGCGATTAAGATGTCGATACCAAGAGAACGGAAAAAGCTATAATTCATTTATGTATACATTTTTGTATTTTAATATCAAAATATTTAATTTTATATTTAAATTTACATAATATTTATATTTTCATCCGCACATATTATTTTTTTATTGATAATGTACTAGATAGACATACATACATACATACATAAGTATGTTCAATATGAATAAGTATTTATGTATATGTATGTGTGCACATGTGTGTATTATACATAACATTTTGTACAGTTTCCTCTAAAGTCTAAATGAAAATTAAAATATGAATATTATTTAAATCGTTTTATTATGCATTTCTCTACTTTATAACAGTAATTAGTTTAAGCTAGCTTAGAATGCGTAAAATTTATAAACTTACCGCAAATTCTTTAACGTCAAAATTTTGATTTTAGTCTGCAAACTGTCTGAAACTAAAACTTTTACGGACAGAAATCTAGTAAACTTTTTACCCGTAATTGACTTTGAATTTTGATCATCCGTAAACGTCAAAACAAAAAAAAATTTTTTTTTAGATTTAAAATAATTTTATACTTACATATTAAAAATTAACAATAAAAATATTTTTTATATTATTTTTAACGTAATGATAGTCACTCAACACATCAAATTTATTTATTGAATTACTACGTCAGACTGTCTGCATGTAAAAAAAAAATCTACAATTTTGACGCTTAATTGAGTTTTTTTAAACGTTTAAGAATTTAAACTTTGACTGAGAGTAAAAACGTAGTAGAGTATCCGTAAACTCAGACAAGTCAGATTTTGTAAAATTTGACGTTTAAGAATTTACCATTAATGTTGTCAAATTATGTAAATATATATTTAACAAGGCATAATATTATACTAGTTCAAGCACATATGTAAAAACAAAATTAGTTTTAATTAAACTGGCCACAATATTCACTATCTTAAAGGTCTATCTTAAAAAATTTGAATCATTTCACTTATTAACACTTAGAATTTGCGGTAACTTACTTGCCATTTTAACAATAACTGAAAATATTATATGATTTTTAAATTTGTACTTGTATTTGTAACCGCATACGAATGAGCAATTTTTATAGCCTCAAACATAGTTATAATGAATGGGACAGTTGGCCGCTTATGTGACACAAAATTAAAAGAACTAGCATATTTATGTAAATTAGTACAACTAAAATTTTACGGGGGCAATAAACTATTTCCCATATACATACAGATTTATTTATCAAATTTATTAAACGTTTACAAAAGTTTACATTTATATTAAATTGCAGCGATTTATTTTATAAATCAAATTATTTTTTTTTTTAATTAATTATTTTCAGTGATTTGTTTAGAATAATTAATTAAATCTTTTTGGAAATTACTCAAAAAAAAAAAAATAAATTCAATTATATTTTGCAGATATGCTTTAGAATTACATTTAGTACATGTTAATGATGACTATGGTAATTTCACTGAAGCCGTTCAACATGACGATGGTGTTGTTGTATTTGCTGTACTATTTCATATTTCACATAAAGATAATGATGAAATTGCAAAAATTTTAGAACAAATTGATGAAATTTGTGAAAGTGAAAATGTTGGCGTTAGTCGACCATTAACACATTCATTTGCTGTCAAAGATTTAATGCCAGATAATCCAAATGATGAATATTTTAATTATGAAGGTTCATTAACAACACCTGATTGCGCTGAAAATGTTGAATGGATTGTTTATAAAGATTCATTACCAATAACCTTAGAACAGGTAAAATTTTTGCATATTATGCGAATATTTTGTCAAAAAATTTTATATTTTACATATGATTTCTTGATTTTAGGTTGAATCATTTAAGCGTATTGAAGAAAAGGATGGTGATAAAATTGATAATAATTTCAGATTTATACAAAAAGCACATAGACGTGCAGTTACATGGGTTAGAGATGAAGAAGATCATCATGATGATGATGACGACGACGATGATGATGATGATAAGAAAGACAAAGATGACAAAGATGATAAGAAAGATGATGATGATGATGATGACAACGATGATGACGATGATAAAGATAATGCCGCTGGACCAGTAGTTAATAAAATTTCTGCATCTGCTTTAACATTCATATCTAGTTTGGCATTATTAAATGGTCGTCAATATTTTTAATTTGACCCTTTAACCAAGAAAATATTCTGAAATTTTCTAACAAAAACTTTTATTCTATTTTACTGCTCATTTTAATCATTTTATAAAAATATCAAATATATAATCAAAATTAATTCTCATCATGAGAGATCCAGTACCAGAAAGTAAAAATATGAAAATCTTATAATTATCTTACATATTTCATTCGTCCTCAAATAGTTTTAATTTGAAAAATTAATAAACAAATTTTTTATTAGATTAAAATGCACCCGGGAACCCTTAGCGAGTTATTTAACATCCTTATTTCCATATTGTTCTTTCAGCCACAAGCGCTTCAAAAAGATCCGATGGTTCATTTTAATTGCTTTTTAATTTTTTAAATATAAATTAATTTTCAATTTGGCAACCTATTCAGATAAATATATTTTATATATATACCTATATGTCTAAATTGCGTTAATTTGAAATCTCTTCAGAACTCTTTCAATATTTTTATTTCAAAATTTAATTTATTTAAATAGTTTAACAGAAATTAATGTCGGTGAAAACATAAAACGTAACTCTGTGCTCATTTCATTTTAATAAAAAAAAATATCTACTTGTTAAATATAAAATTCTACTAGAGTTAATCTTTTAGAAACAATGGTTGTGTGTTTTTCTTTTATAATTTAAATATTTTGTTATTTAAATTTTTATTATGATTTAAATGTTTTTTTTTTCATTGAAATATATAATATATAAAAATTAGTAAAAATTAGTTTATAAGATCTTGACAAAATAGCAAGAACTTTCTACAATAAAAACTTCTTTCCCTAATAATATAAAATTACATATATATTTTATATATCTACATCTGGAAATCTTAATAAAAAAAATATTGCTTATAATTTTAAAATAAAAATTATACAAAAAAAAATATCAATATATCAGTATAAAACACGAATAACATGCGTATTAAATAATAATTATGTTGTAACTTTAATAAAAACAAAAAACGAATTTTTGAAATTGTTAAAATAAAAAAAAAATTGTTATTTACTAGTTTAAGGGCAAAAAATGTTAAATATTCACAAACTTAGTATAAGAAGAATATGTTTTTCTTTTCTGTTAAAACATGAAACATTAATTGTTTTCTCTTTTTGTATTTAAAAGAGGTTAATTCTAACCTATAACACTTCATTATAATCAACTACTATTCAAATATAACCATGAAAAAATTTATTGCTTTTCTTCAACTAACTTACTAATCGTTTTTCTTTTTCTTTTCAATTAAGTAAGTTTTTGTATAATTATAATATTAAAAAAAATTGAAAAAATTAAAAAAAAAAAATATATAAAACAGCTAGGAAACCAAATTTATACAAATAAGGACTGAAAATATTAAAAAAGGACAAATACAGGACAACTAAAAATTTAAAACAATTTACGATATTCAATACTATAAATATTTTATACTAAATAGCAATTATGATTTTTGATTATGCACAAAATAAATATTATGAATTGGAATTTCATTTTAGTTATGTAAGAACAACCTTTCTATTGTGAATTGAATTAAAGTAAAATTTCGTTGTCATTTTATAAAATTAGGTGATTTTAAATTCAAAATTTTCAAAAATTCTAATTACTCTATTAATATCTAATTAAAAAAAATTTCTCAAATCATTTAACAAAACGCGCTTAAAATACTAAAAAATATTATTTGATTTTGAACAAAACACCAACTAAAACAAATTGTCCTTTTCACATATAGGAAAAACTAAACCAAAAAAAATTTAATTATATTAGCTATGTAATAGTAAATATTAAAAACAAAAAAAAACAAAGTCATAATCTTGTTACCTATATTTTAATTAATTATTAATAATCTTATATTTTATGGATAATCTATTAGTTATGAGTGTCATATTTATTATTTTTTAAAAATTAAAAAACAAAAAAAAAAAACAAAAATTTTTTATTTTGTTAACACGTACTTTTTGTTTTTGTTTGCAAAATGTGTTTTGCAAATTTTGCAACAGCTAATGGCAAACTAAAAGAAAAGTAAAAATATTTTTCAACATCAAAAGTTAACAGAGAGAAAGCCTTGGGGTTTTTTGTTTTAAATTTCAATTTAAAAAAATACAAATTATATAAAATTAATAAAAATGAAATTAAATCAATTATTTGCCAACTTAATTATATAAATTTTAATAGTTTAAAAATAATTTTTTAAAACCCCTCTATAAAACAGAAAAAAATTAAAAATACAATATTGTTAAAAAGCATTTATTAAAATTACAAACACAATAAAAATTAAAGAATAAAATAATTTTAACATTTTCAAAAAAAAAAAACTTTGTAATGAAATCTTTCATATTTTTGTATTTATTAAGTTTGATTAAATTTGAAAACGTAACAAAATCAAAAGCTATTAAAAATATTGTAAAAATTATTGTAATTATTATTTAAATTGTTTGTATATTAAATAAATATAAAAATTTGCTATTCACATCACATTAACAATTTGGAAAGAAAAAACAATTCTTTTTTGTTAAAATCTACCATCACTAAATTTTTTTTTTTTTTAAGTATTTATCCAATAAATTCTGAAATTTATAAAAAAGAAATAAACAAAAGAAAATTAATTTGTAAATTACATGGACCAACGAAACAAAATTGTGAATAAAGATCAAAAAAAGAAGATGAAAATAAAAAAGAGAAAATTAGTTTTATTTTATTTAATTTCATTAAGAGTGGTGGAACTTTGATTTTAAGGTTTAACTAAACACCCCTTAGCAAAATTTCTAAAAAGACCTAGAAAATTTTATTTTTTTATGCCTTTTTAGAAAATTGTCAATAAAAATATTGTTTTGTTGTATTTTCGGTTTGATGCTTTTACCAATTCGATTTGACCAAATCGAATTTTTTGATTAATATCGAAATGTAAAAGTGATCGCTCTCTTACCGAAAAGTATATCTAGCCTTAATTGTATCAAACTAACGAACTAATTCAATCTTTACATGTTTTCATTATTTAGAGAGCTAAAGCTATATTTGAATATGAATGCGCTATTTCATAAACCATGAGTTTGATTGACTACGATTTTAATTGTATATTTTCACTATTTTATAACATGATATAAGAGTTCGGCGGCTTTAAAACAAACTTTAATGCCACAGTTCGCATTTAACAGTTATTTTTACGTAGATTAACTTGAATGTTGTTCGAAAACAATGTGAAGAAACATACGCAAGTCTGGTTTCTTAATGTAATAAAGAGGCAATGTTCTAAAAGAGTGAAGACATAATTTCGAAATAATCATTGTAATTAAATACTTAATTTAGTTTTTTTTTTTAAATTTGTTTTAAATATGAAAAGATTGTTATCCGTTGACACGTTAATATCATGAGAGAGACTATATCAAGAGAGAGAGTGAAAGATATTCTAAACTAGAGCCATAGATAGGATAGAAATTAATGCACATATGCTGGCACGTCGTACTTATTTCTCGCGTAGATAAGAAATAAACAAATCTAGGCTTTTTAAAGATTTTCTTAAAAAGCCCATTTTATTGCCCAATAAGTATATGAAAAAAGAAAAAAATAATATAAATGTATATGTATATTTGTGTATTATCAAAGATAAACGTTTAATATACATATGTAACTATAATTTTGTAATTTTTAACGTATAAAATTCAATGTAACCCCATTCAATCTAATTTTATAATGATTCAATTTAACTATATCTAATTTATTAAATTCAATATCTTAAATTCAAATTATAAATTTGTTATTATGTTTAATTGGAATTGGAATTAAAATTTCCCTCAATTTTTTTTATTAATCTTAATATATTTTTTGCTTCAGGTTATATTATTACATTTTCATTGATTTCCACACTTTCTGCGTACATAGTTGAAATTTAAGAAATTTTAATAAGCGTAAATAACTTTGTAAATGGTTTAAGTTTATTATTAATTTCGTGGTTTAAAAAGTGACATTAGATTTTAAATAAAGTTGGGTAAACCATGAGTTTGTAAAGTAGTACTTTTACCTTCAGCTAGTGAAAATTTTAAATTGAAACTTTCATGCATATACCAAAATATTTCAAATGACTATCTATATTTAGGCTGAGATAAAAAAAATTGAAAGAAGTGTTAACATAATTATCGAATTTAAGGGTGAAACTGCGGTAACTTAAGAGGTAGAAAAATATTTTCATCCAACAAAATAAATTGTTTATTAATATTTATAGGCAGATAAAATTCCAGGACCCTGCAACTGACAGTCTAGAAGAAAAACTGCACAGAAAATGAAAACAAAAATGGATTTCAGATAAAGGATGATCTCAGCGGCCATTTGATCATATCTATGTTATACCGGGTTTGAAAAAATCGACCACTACTTTTCTACGTTTGCAGAATTTAAAAAATATTTGTGGTTTCGCTATTATAAATAATGAAAAAATAGAATTTTTAAGACTTTAAGGGGCTATAATTTTTTGAGGGGAAGACATAGCCAACAATATTCTATTATAGAAAGAAGCTTTTAGTAAAGAAATATTTTTATGCAAAGTTTCAGTGTCTATATTAAAGAGCGTAGAAGTTTTTGAAGCAGGTCCACGGACGAACGGACAGACAGAGTTGTAACATTTAAATTTAGTGTATTATGCAACTATAATCAAGACATATGCTCCAAATTGCTATCTAAACAGAGTGACAGTAATCCAACTTACGATAATATAATTTGAGAATTCATTTGTTACATATGAATATATTTATCTAATCTTTAATTGGCATGATTTTACGTTAATAATTTTTAAGTAATATTACATAGATAGTAAACGTTTGATGTTTTATAAATTGAACGAAATAGGTTGGATTCATTGAATGTTGGGTAAATTTCAGCCTCTAGAAAAAATTTTTTTTCTTCGATATAAAGTCGAAATTTTCTATTAGAGATTTATATTTATTTGTAATAATTTTTAATATAAGAAAAAAGCGATCGTACTGTTTTTTTTCCCACTGTAAAATTTATAAAATTTAACATCTGAAAGATCTGCGTTTTTAAAGAACACAAATGCGTACATATTATTGACAATATATGTATCCGTGAATTCATTTGTAATTATACGTAGTGTAAAATAAATCAATTTGATGGAAACAAGTATCTTTACGAAATACCTCTAAACTGTGTGTATAAGGTATGTGTTATACTTAAAATGTTAATGTGCAAGTATGAATAACTTTAAATTCAAGTTGCAATTTGTTTATGATAAAACCATGTCTGCGTAATGAAAACTAACATAAACATTAGTAGCATTTCAACTAATATTGCACAGTTAAGTTACAATTTGACATTGAGAGAATATGTCTGCGAGATTAAAATTGACATTACTTACTAGAACAATTTTGCTATATGGTCTAAAAATCTTGAATTACCAGTTCCACATGCAGTCATCTTTCAAAACTTCGCAAACTTTATTGTTATACCAAGAATAAATTC